ATGTATCTGTCACCTACAGAAGGGCACGTTGGTTGCTTCCAAGTCTTGACACTTAAGGAAGCTGCTGCAAGCATCTCGGTGCAGGTTTTTGTGGGCTGGTGACTTCAACCTCACCCTCGGGGTAGATACCGAGGAGCTCCATCCACTGCCGTATCTCAGAGGGGTGGGGACCCCCCGATCTGGTGTCTGCTTGGTGCTTGTGCACGCCTCTGCTGGCCGTCTGCGGGCCCTCGCGCCCCTGCCGGCCGTCTGCGGGCCCTCGCGCCCCTGCCGGCCGTCTGCGGGGTCTCGCGCCTCTGCTGGCTGTCTGCGGGGTCTCACGCCCAGATGGCACAGCTCCTGTCTTGGGCGTCTCTGATGTCCCCTGCAAGAGTCAGAGGAGCCTAGGGGCTCTTGGGTCCTGATTCATCGCCCAGGGGCCTTGTCCTCTGGGGGCCAAGGCTGGGGGCCTGTCTTCTGGGAGCCCCCCTTTTATAGCCTGTACACCTCAGTCGCCCTTTCCTTGGGGAGGACAGCTCCCAGAGCCAGCCACGTGGGCACCCCTGGCCTCCAAATGACCTGACCACATCCGCTTGTGAGCCGTCGGGCTCTGCTTTCCCTGGTCCTCGAGGCAGCGACGTTCGCAGACCACAGACATGGATCCCGAGGTCCCGTTTTCTCCCTAGCACCAGGTGGGTAGAGATAAGCACCGTGCATAGACCGTGGCCGTACAGACGCCTGTTTTGGCCAAGGAAAATACCACAGACATGCCGTCCTGGACAAATCAGCCTGTGGGAATGTGAGCCCCCACCCCTGCCGCTGCCGGCTGGCTGGGAGGGGGCGGCCCGAGGGCGGCTCCCTGCACGCTCTCAGCCAGGCTGCCCCGGGCCTGCACTCCTGGCTGCCTGCATCTGGCAGTGGCTGGCAGCCTGCCCATTCTGCAGATGAGGAAACTGAGGCTTGTGGGGGGGGTGCCTGGGTTTTCCCAGACAGTGGCCAGCATGTGGAGGAGCCAGGCCTGAGCCGTGGGAGCCGTGCAGAGCACGGGCCACATCGGGTGCTGCAGGTGGGGCAGGTGCAGGTGCACGCCTTCCTGTACCTGCCCCCATGTTCCTTCTCTCAGTTGCCGTTTAATTTATGGGAAGTGATGCCGGTTCCCATTTATGGCCATGATGTTTCTTTTAGAATATATATTTGTTTAAATAAGTGTATTTCCCTGGTGGCTCAGAGGGTAAAGAATCTGCCTGCAATGCAAGAGACCATGATTCAATCCCTGGGTTGGGAAGATCCCTTGGAGAAGGGAATGGCCACCCATGCCAGTGTTCTAGCCTGGAGAATCCCATGGACAGAGGAGCCTGACGGGCTGCAGCCCATGGGGTCATAAAGAATCAGACACGACTGAGCGACTGACACTTCACATTTTTTGTTTAAATAAAATAGTGTTTCCTCTCCCTGAAGTTGGTGTCAGTGGGCCCTGAGCCCGAGTGCTCACTGCAAGGTGGGCCGGGGCTCAGGTTCAGCCCTGTACACGGACACGCGCGTGTGTCCCTTCCCTCGCCGGGCTGGACGCGCACGAGGGTTGTGACAGACTCTGTCTGTGCCCAGCGGCTGGAGCCTGGATGGAGGCATTTCTCTCCCTGGATCCTGTCTGCCCAGCCCCGAACCCCGACCCCCCTGGGGCTGCACCTCGGGTGCAGAGCTGGCAGCCCCCAGCCCTGACCCGTCTGCTCTGTCCCCCCAGGATGCGGGTTCTGGGGGCGCCTGCGTCTGCCGGTCCTCGCTGGTCAGTTTTCTTAGTCCTCAAGCAGCATCCGGCTCACAAGTCAGAGAGGCCTGGGTGACGGCCTGCAGGATGGTGGGGGGGGTCCCTGGGGGGGCAAGGCTGCCCTCCCTGCCTCGCTGGGTGCAGCTCCCACGGCTGGAACCGTGACTCCTGACAGCCGTCACCTGCACTATTGGGGGCTCTGGGCCCGGCTGGGGGGCAGTTTCGGAGAGCGGGAAGCCTGAGGCACTGCTTCAACGAGCACGTCCCCCCTCGACCTTGGCTGCCTCCTATCTCATAAACGTCACGCGTGCCCGTTGTCGAAACCAGAGTTGATTTGGGTTTCAACTCTGTAGAAAAATTTTAAAAATGAAAAATGTTTCAAGGAAAATGGGTCTCTTGTAATAACCCCGTCTCCCCCAGGCTCTGGCAGGGACATTTTTCTCGTGCGTCCTCCTGGGCCGACTCCTTTGTGACCCAGTTTATTTTTAGAGCTGGGCTAGAATCAATGAGTGAGAAGTTTGGGGAATATGATCTGGATCCTGGCAAATATGTTTTTCTAGCCCCCAGAGTTCCGGTGCTCAGTCCCCGGAGGACGTCTGTGCTGCTTTCTCTGCCGTCTGGGAAAGGAGCTCGGACAGGCCGGCTGCTCTGGGCCTGTGATGGTCTCTCCGGGGTGGGAAGAGCTGGGCGTGTGCTGGGCACGCCCGGGGCCCGTGTCGTGGGAACGCCTGGCCCTGCTGGCTGAGGCCCCACCCCACCGAGTCCATCTGCGTGTTTCCCTTGCTCCCGCCCCAGCTTGCTGATTGTGCCTTGCCAGGACAGGGACCGCCTGCCTTTGCATCAGGGCCCAGGGGTGGCGGCTGGTCGGCCTCAGCTGCTGTTACGGAGACCCCCAGGGCCGCTGCAGGGCTTCCCTGCCTCATGAGGTGGCGCCCCACGGTCGTCGCGGGCACCCCGGGGCGTGTGGCCCTGTCCCGTAGCCCAGTTGCCCCGGGCGCCCTTGGCAGACGTACCCCGGTGGAGGTGGGGCTGCGGCAGCGGGGAGAGAGTTGGTGCAGTGCACGCCCCGCCGAGGACACGTGGTCTGTGGCCATGTGCCTGCAGCCCGGACGTGCGAGGACCTGGCAGGGGGCTGGCCTGTTCCCTGTCGGTTCTGCTTGTTCGGGGCTCCTCTGAGTACCTTTCTGTGCGTCCATGCTCACAACGTCCAGCATGGAGGGTCTGTCATGACCTCGGTCTCCTGAGCCTCCGTGTCAAGGCCCTGGTGGGAAAGCTCTGTCCATCTGTCCCAGTGGAAACCGATTTCATCTCATCAGCCTGTGTGGATCGTAAGACGGGCTGGCCTGTGCGTGACCAGGAGAGATGCTGTAGTGACCGTGGGGGACTCGCGGGTTCCAGAGAAGATGAGGTCTGGGAGGGGTCCTCACGAGGTTGGGGGCAGCTTGGGGGGAGACAAGTGAGAAGCAGAACGGTGGCCAAGCCGAGCCCATCCGTTTTCTGTGCCCCAGGCCTCAACCCTGTCCCGAGTGGGCAGGGCAGAACTTGGGGAGGGGAGCCAATCACATTGGCTGCAGGTGAGCTTGTGACCTGCTCTGGCCAGTGAGGTGTGAGGGGATGGTGCCTGGAGCTTCCAGAAGGTTTTCCTGTGGATGGCATTGGGGAGGCATTTGGCAACTCCCGGAACCGTAGTAGCCACGGTCCCACCATGAGGATCCGACCGAGACCACCAAACAGGAGGCAAGGACAAGCCTAGGCTCACACACATCTGTGGGCCTCTGAGTTGGCCGGCCCTGAAGCCCTCCTGCATCTTCTGGTTTTGGGGATAGCAGTTACCCTTAGTAGCCTTCAGACACCTTGAGTCGGGTTTTCTGTTGTTTGGAGCTTGAAGTCTCTCAGGTGCACTAAGCCTTGAGTAAATCAGAAAACTTCACTTCCATCACTGGGGTCCTGACGAAAATGATCCAGCTGTAAAGTGGAAACTTGTCTAAAATGGGAATGTAAGTTGTATAAGTGAAAAGGCATGAGTGCAAATGATAATTAGGTAAATGTGGCATCGTCTCCAGAGAGTCGCTGCGGTCCTCGTGGTGCCATCAGCCAGGCACTGACTGCCCTCCTCTCCAAGGGAGAAGGGCTCTCTCCTCTCCGTGACGTCAGCGCGAGACCATGTGTCCTGCAGGCCCCGCCCCTCGGCCCGGGTCTGTGGGCATCTGGCCCAGGGAGCACTCCTGGGTGGGTGGAGACGTCTGCTGCTTCCAGGCCCCTCTGTCTGTCCAGTGGCGTCGTAAGCACCCCAGATGCCTGGGAGCCGAGTGGCCCTGTGGCTGGAGGGTGCCAGCATGGGACTGCCCAGGGGCAGAGGTCCCAGGCCCAGTGGGCACAGGCAGGGTCTTCTGACTGTGTCTCTCGCTGCCCAGGCAGAGGGGTTTACTGTTAACCCGGGTGTGGCCCAGCCGGCGCTCATGATCTGGGTCCTGGTGAGCTGAGTCCGCAGGGAGACAGACTGTGCTCGTCTGTATGGCTGGGGCGTTGGCACCAGCTGTCCAGGCTGGGGGCACGCGTGAGCAGTGGATAGCTGAGGGCCCAGCGGGCGCGAGAGGACCCCGGTGACGCAGGAACCCTGTCCTGGGGCCCCGGCTGCTCAGCCATGATGTGGATGTGCCCCGCTGGGGGCCAGGGTGATACAGCGGGCGCTGTGCCTGTCTGCGAGGCTCAGAGCCGCTGGAGGCTGTGTGGGCCGGTGGGGTGGCTGGGGAGGCTTTGCGCTGACTCCTCAGGTGCGTGGGAAAGATCCCAGTTTGGATGAGGTTCCAGCCCCCGACCCCAGGCACCAGGCCAGGGGCTCTATGTTTGGAAGCCCCTGGGGCTGGCTTGCGGCTGCCAAAGCTGTGTCTCAGGTGTGGACTGTGGTCTTGTTCATCACTGAGCCCTGGGGTCTGCAGGCGCCCTATCACTTAGCGGGGGAAGAGTAACCCCCAGCCACACTGCTCCTGTCCTTGACATGTAGGCCAAGGTAGGCTTGGAGGAGCGCTGCCCAAGAGGTGGCTCCAGATTCTGCCAGTGCCCGGCCCAGGGGGTATCCAGGGGGTGCCCTGTGCCGAGCACGGCTCCCGGAGCCCACACCTCACTCCAGGCAGGGGCGCACGGAACTGGCAGGAGAGGGTGCAGACAGTGCCCTCACGGGTGAGCCCAGGAACCCCCACCCTGGCCCGCTGGACCCCTGCTGGCCGACCCTCACATGCGCCCTTGGCCTCCGCAGGGCACGGCTTCGGTCCTGCAGCGCCGGTCCCCCAACGAGGAGTACGTGGAGGTAGGGCGCCTCGGGCCCTCTGACTACTTCGGTGAGTGCAGGGCTCTGTCCTCGGAGGGGTGGCCGGCTTGCAGGGCCCCAGGCGGGCCTGGGTTGGGCTCCACGGGGGCGCAGGAGTCCCGGGAGGCCTGGGCGCCTGGATGCCCGTCCTGGGCGCTGTCCCCCCGGGGAGGGTACCCTGATGCCCACAGCCCTGACGCCCCTCGCCCCCAGGGGAGATCGCACTGCTGCTGAATCGGCCCCGGGCGGCCACGGTGGTGGCGCGGGGGCCCCTCAAGTGCGTGAAGCTGGACCGGCCCCGCTTCGAGCGCGTGCTGGGGCCCTGCTCCGAGATCCTCAAGAGGAACATCCAGCGCTACAACAGCTTCATCTCGCTCACCGTCTGAGCACCCTGCTGCCCTCCGGGAATAAACGTGGTGCCTCCCGGAAGGCAGCCCTCTCCCCGCCTCCCTGCCCTGTCCCCCCTCGCGGCCCCTCTCAGGGAGCCCACCCTCTCCCCCATCTCCTGGGGTGCAGGCAGCTCCCCAGACCCGGCCCAGGCCTGGGGATGTGAGGCCTCTGAGCTGCGGCTGGTCTGGGGCGATGTCGTCCCTTTTCTTGGAGCTGGAAGCTGAGGCTGCAAAGCTCAGGCCCCTCCCTCAGACATGCGCCTCCCCCAGGCCCCCCAAGATGCCGGGGTTGGGGATGCTCTGGTGGCTTCAGCCAGGCTCGGCCTCAGGGTGGAGTTGGGGGCGGTGACCTTCCCCTTTCCTGGAAAGCCCGGCACATGGGCCAGTTTGCCTGACCGTCAGGGCGGGGGCCACCTTGCTGGGCCGGGACGCCCAGCAGGGAAGAACCCGCTGTTTGAGTCTGGGGCTTCCCTGGGCACGGGAGCCCTGCCCCCCGGGTCGGGAGGAGCCCTGCTGCCCCCACTGCTCCACAAAGCAGCCTCTCAGAGACTGGAGGGAGTGCAGGGACCTTCTGAGCACACTCTGGATGCAGCTGTGAGTCACCCTCTGGCAGACAGGCCTCTGTTACCTGGAGCGTCGCCTTGGAAGGCGGGTATCTGGGCCTCTCCCCGAGTAGGAGTGTGAGTGAGGCCAGCCTGCGGCCCGCACACCTATGTTATCCATCAATTGCCCCTGGAAGTGCCGCCAGGCCTGCTCTCAGCGGAGCTGGAGCGGCCAGGGCCTGTGCCCATCGGACTCCCAGTGACCTGAAGTACCAATGAGACAGCGCGGTTACCCCGATTGTCTCCTGCCCATGCGTCCTGGTCTGAGGGGACCTCTGCTTTGCCTCAGTGTTTCTGTGATGTGTGAACCCCACCCCGTTTATCACGATGTTCTGAATGCTGCATGTGCTATTAAATGTGCAATGAAGTACATCTTCCTGACTCTGGGTTTTGGTCTAAAATTTTTAGAGAAGATTTTCTTCCTTTTGCCTGTCTCTATTGTGGTAAAATAGTCATAAAACTTAGCGTCTTAACCATTTGTAAGTTCAGGGGCATTAAGCGCATTCACACCGTTGCTCAGCCACCACCCGTCTCCAGAACTTTCTCAACTTCCCAGATGGAGACCCTGTCCCCATGGATGCTGGCTGCCCTCCCCCAAGCCCAGCCCCCGGCCCCTCCCCCTCGTCTCTGTCTCCTTGGCCCTGACTCCTCCGGGGATCTAGAACTGGGGTCAGACAGTGTCTGTCCTTCCGTGTCTGGCTCATTTCACGGCTATGTCCTCAAGGTTCATGCATGATGCAGCCGGGCCAGCATTTCCTTCCTTCTTAAGGCTGAATCACATCCCGTGTGAGCGTGGACCACATTTCGTCTCCATTCACCCACTGATGGCGATGGCCCCTGGGGCTTTCAGCCGTCTGTCACAGTCATAGCTGATGAACTGGCTGCGGCCCCCGGGGGGTGGGGGTGCTGGCAGCTTTCAGGGTGTGAAGCCATGGGGCAGGAAGCAGGCCCCGGGCCCCCCCCAGGGGACCACGCTCTGACGGCCTGGGGGCAAGTTTCTGAGCAGTGGCTGGGGAAAGGGGTGACGCTGGGGAGCACATGCCATCCGACCCTCCCATCCAGACTTTGGGGGGCAGCGGGCCTGCGCCTCCCTTAGAACGGCTGGCTTGAGACCACCGTCCACCCCGCCACCACACGGGGGTGCATGTCGGCTGTGCCATTCCCAGAGAGCCCTTGGGCCAGCTTTCAGGCTCCTGCTGTGAGTGTGCGAAGGGCCCACTGCCCAGGGACCGCCCAGACAGGCTCCCTGGGAGAGCTGGGCATGGCTCCAGGATGAAGTCTGAGCCGGGGAATGGTCTTGACCCACAGAGAGTTGTTGCTGCTGGACTAGGCAGCAGCTTCTAGGTTGAGGACGGCGTGCACCTGCCCTGGGCCTTGTCTCGAGGGCTGTGAGTGGCAGTCCCTGGAGCCAGGATGGAAGCTTTGGCTCAACAAGCCCTGCAGGGAGCTGTCATGAGCCCTGTCTGTCCAGTGGGCAGGCGGCCCGCTGTGCACGGCGCGGAGACGGCCCTGTTCGCCGAGGGCCAGCCCAGGTCCTACTCTACACGCTCTCGGAAGCTCTCCCGGACCCCGGGCCTGGGGGGCTGTCCTGCTCTGGGGTCCCACTAACCCCACGTGCTTTCCAAGGACAGAGAGCAGCCACCTAAGACCCCCACTCCTCCTGAGGGCTGGGGCCGCGCTGTCCAGGACACAGGGAGGGCAGAGGCCGCGGGCTTCTCTGCAGCAGGAGTGAGGAGGCCAACGCGCACACCCTTCAGTTTCCTTTGAAGAACGTCTACTGAGTAATCAAAACCACCGCACACCGCAAAGCGCCGCACACGATAACACGTGAGTTACGTGTGTAAAACAAGCAGGGTTCTGTTGTGTCCTTCAGTTCTAAGCTGCCTGTGCCTGGGGGGCCCGATGTTCTCACGAAGGACCCTCCGGGAGGGAGGTGGGGGCCCCAGGTCAGAGAGAGGACGGGGCAGGAGGGAGTCGGGGAGGGACAAGCCACTGCTCAGGACAAGGATGGGCCGCAGAGCGCGGCACCTCCAGGAGTTGGGAGAGGAGGATGTGGACCCTGCCCAGCGCCTCCAGGAGGAAGGCCTCGACCTCCAGGTTCTCGGGTTAAGTAGAGGTTGAGCTGCTGAGTTTGGGGCATTTTGTTACAGCAGCCGCAGGACGGCAGCCGCAGGACGCTCATACGAGGCTCCGCAGGGGCTGGACTGGAGCTCCGCCACCACGAGGGCAAGTTCCTCCCCAGCCTTGGGGCGTGCTCCTGAGGCCCAGGGTCTCCCTGGACTGGGGTGTGGAGGGGTGTGGACTGCCCGGCTGGGCGCGGGCACCCAGGCTGGCGGCTGCAGGAAGCCTCTGCCCGCCACCCGCTGGGGGCGTGGCCGGAGCAGCATCTTCCCCAGCTGGGCACTGGGCCTGCTCCCTCTGGCGCCAGGCGGCACAGACCCGGGGCTGTGGGCTCGTGAAAGCGGGCTTGTGTCTGCTTGAGACTACAAGCTGGGCGATTGTTCCTGCCCCGTCGCATTCCCCGGGGTGGTGCCAGGGGCGCGGGGCAGAAGGGGCCAGCAGGACGCGGTCCGTGGGGATGGCCCCCGGTGGCTCGCTCCCCTTGGCCGCTCTGGGGCTTGACGTGGACACCCCCACTCTGTCCCAAGGCCGCATCGGCGAGGGTCAGGGTGTGGCCAATAGAGGCTGTACAGTGGGTTCCGGGGGGCAGCTGGGGGTCTCACACACTCGCCTGCGGGCCCCAGGACCCCACGGCACTGGGCACCCAGTGGGCAGCAGCAAATACTTGAATAATGAGTAGAAGTGGATAAAGTAGGTATCATCGGAGGGGAGATTGGGGAAATTCAGGCTCTGGCTTCTACAGGCCAAAAAATAAGAACCTTAGTTTGAAGTATCATATTTTCTACAAAAATGAACTCAGAATGGCTCACCGATTCATACATAAACATAAAACCATAAAACTTGCAGGAGAAAGAGGAAGAGAAAGGAGACATCCTGGGGCTCGTGGGCCAGGCAGCCTGTTCCACACAAGCCCCGAAAGGGGAGCTGGACCAGCTGGAAGTCCTGACCGTCGAGAACACTGCCGGAGAAGGACCCGAGAGGAGGTGGAGGGGACAGTGTGCTGCCGGTCCCCCTGAGGGCCCGCACCGGGACGATGAAGCGCAGCAGCGAACACGCCCGGGGAGGACACGCACACAGCAGAGGAGGAGGGGCTTCATGAGAAGCATGACCACAGCCCGAGCTGGCGAGCAGGCGAGGGCCGGGCCGCTCACACGCGGCTTGGTTTCCATGAGAAAACGACACGGAGCTCGGACCTCCCTGGTGGTGCAGGGGACAGGAATCCGCCCGCCAGTGCAGGGGACGTGGGTTCAATCCCTGGTCTGGTAAGATCCCACGTGCCTCGGAGCAGCAAAACCTGTGCACCACAGCTACTGGGGCCCGCGTGCCCAGAGCCTCGCTCTGCGGCAAGAGAAGCCCCCACAGTGAGAAGCCCGCGCTCACCACGACTAGAGGAATCCATGTAGCAATGAAGACCCAGCACTGCCCAAAATAAATTAATTACTTTTAAAAAAGGCAAGCTACAAAATCACATAAAACCCCAACAAACCTAAAGCAAGCAGAGCTCCGCAGGTTGCAGCCAGGACTGCTGAGGCACTTAACCTGGAGAAACGCGGCCCTGCTCAGCCGGGCACCCACACGGAGCCTCACAAGGCCCCATCCTCAGAGCTGGAGATCCCTGGACCTGCTCTCGGGCGGGTGGCTGAGCACGGGGCCGCTGCACAGTGCAGCGACTCGGGTACCAGGAGCAGCCTGTGGATTTAGTGACTGCCTGGGTGGGTCTTCAGGGAATGGAGCTGAGAGGAAACGCCGACCCCCAGGGGTGACCCAGTGTACGAGGCCAGGTACACAACAGCCTCGACAAACCCCCAGGACACAAGGCCCAGGTGGGGGCCGGAGGGCCTCGCGGCCTTGCCCTGGAGCCTCACGAGGCGTCACCATGGGGGCGGCCGGGTGCAGGGCCCCCACTCCTCTTAGGAGGGAAAGAGCCTGGGTGCCCAAGGGCATGGGGAGGGCAGGGTGGGCAGCATGTGGGAAGGGGTCTGCTCCCCCAGGAGACTGGGAGGGGCCGCTGGAGAGCTTGGGGCTGGGGGTGAGTCTGATCTGTGCTGTTGGAGGACCTGGGACTGAGTGGCCAGGGCGACCCTCAGGCTTCCCTTCCCTGGTGGCGTTACCGGGACAAGAGAGGCTGCGGAGGGGGCACCCAGGCCTCAGCAAGCCCGCACCCTTCCCAGAACCCCTCCCTGCCTGGCCCTGGCCCCTGTCCCCACAGAGCAAGAGCTCTGCCGCTCACTGTGTGGCCTTGGACCAGTCCCTTGACGTCTCTGGGCCCCACCCCCAAACCCCCTAGGAATGCACTCCTGATGTTTCTGGAAGACACAGTGGTCCCGAAGCCCCTCCCTGACCTGGGGTCAGGTGGGGCTAGGGCTGGCGTGGGTGGGGTGGCCGGGGGGGGCTGCCCTGGCCGGAAGGACAGCAGGCTCACCCATCCACTTGGCATCAGCGTGTCGTGTGCCCAGCGATCCCGGTGGTGGGTGGCAGCCTGTCTCCTGCAGAGCTGGGAATTCTGGCAGGAGGACCTGAGCACAGGAGGCTGTTGGGTCCCAGCACCGAGGGTTGTCTGGCCTCCCTGTTCCACTCTACTCATCAGGTCTCAGGACTATGCACTGTCCTGACCTCCCTGTCTGTCAGAGAGCGGTAGTTGCCCCCAAAGTGCTGAGAAATGCGGCCCCCGCTGTCAAGAGGGGCCCTGCAGGCCCTCTGTGTGCAGGTCCAGCCCACATACCCTGCTGACTGAGCTGGGCCTGCAGTGATGGCGGTGCTGTGGCCAGGCCTGGCCTAACCCTGCTCCGAGGCTGAATCAGTCAGGCGGGTGATGACTCACTTTGGGGTCGGGTACTTCCCTCCCAGCCCACCGCTGCCAGGCAGGGCAGAGCCTGGTACCCATCTCCACTGCTCGGGGCCTGGGGGAGGGGTCGCCCCTGGGAGCAGCCTTCTGCAGGGGCCAGCCCGTCTGGGTGACTAGGGGGTCCTACAGGCCAGCGGGACTCAGACCCAGAAGGGCCCCTGGGGTCTGCCTTTTCCCGTCCGAGTGCGGGAAGACATCCCACGTCCTGCCAGGAAGACGCCCGATGCCACCAACCGCAGCGACCTCTCAGTCCCCTCCGGACCGCTCTCTCCTCCTGGGTTGTGACCGATCTGGGAGGCTGATGACTCAGACTCTGCTGCAGCCCCGCCTCCTGCTGTGCCAAGCAGCTCCCCTCTTCCAGGGGTCATCTGGTCTGTTTAAACTGGACTCCACTGCAGGAGGGCCT